GGGAGAAGAGGAACCAGCAAAAAGTTAAGAAATAACAGCCAGTTCTGTAACCGCATGTAAACCCAGCACTGTGGGCAAGGGTGGGGGACAGAGACAGGAGGATTGTTAAGGCTTGCTGGCTGCCAGCCTAGCTCCAGGATTAGTGAGAGACCCTGTCTCCAGGAAATAAGGTAGATAAGGTGGACAGTGATGGAGCAGCACATCCAAGGTCCTCTTCTGGCCTCTACATATACCCATGGACACATACATGTAACACATATGCACATACACAACAAATAGTACACATTCCAATACACACACACAAAAAAATCAATAGAATATAATGTGACTCATACTTCTCTCAGAATACATTTTATAACCTCATAGTTGTTTTGTTGAAATAAAACTTTTGTCAGGACTGATGATGTAACTCAGTGGTAGAGTACCTGCCTAGAATCCCCCAGTGAGGGGCTGGGGGCATGACTCAGTGGTAGAGCACTGGCTTAATTTGTGCAGGACCCTGAGTTCTATCCACAACTGGAGGAAAATCAAGAGAATGTGTGTGGCCTAGGAAGTCAGGTAAAGGAAGCATATCTGGAAGTTGGGCATAGTGGCACACACCTGGAATCTCAGCACTCAGGTGACTGAGGCAGGTGGACTGTGAGTTCCACCTGGGTTATAGAGTGAGTTTGAGGTCAACCTAGGCTATGTATTAAGACCCTCTCTCAAAAAACAAAACAAAACTCAGAAGAAAAAAACAAAACCGGCTGAGCATGGTGGCGCACACTTTTAAACCCAGCACGCAGGAGGCAGAGGCAAGTGGATATCTGTGAGTTCCAGGACAACCAGAGCTACATAGTGAAAACCTGTCTCAAACATACAAACCATAAAACAAAACTGGGAATCTGGTTCAGTAAGCAAAGTGCTTACTTTGCAAACATGAGGACCTGAGTTTGATTCTCAAGAACCAACATAAAATGTTACACCTAGCCTACTTGGCAAAGTTCCAGGCCATGAGAGACCATCTCAAACAGAAAGTGTAATGCACCTGAGGTTGACAACTAAGGCTGTCATCTGAACTCTACATACACACACACACACACACACACACACACACACACCCCTACATGAGTGTATTCCCAGAGTGCACCCCCCCACACACACACGTCTTTCCTGAAGTGTCAGGATGCTGAAAGGTCCCAAAAGAAAAAACACCAGTGGATCTGGCAATGTAGACATCATTGGTGAGCGAAGAACTTAGCTTCCGGCAGAAAGTTAATTATACGTGTAACAGATTAACTTTATTACCTGTTATGTCTGTTGACTAACAGTAAACAGAGATTTGCTCTGGGCATGATGGCCGGGACCTGTAAACCCAGCACTCAGGAGGCTGTGGCAGGAGGATTGCCAATAGTTTCAGGCTAGCCAGGGCTATATAACAAGATTGTGTGAAAACACTAAACCATTGCCTGGTTTGGTGGCATGTACCTTTAATCCCAGAACTGGGGAAACAGAGGCAGGTGGATCTCTGTGAAACTGAAGCCAGCCTGGTCTACACAGTGAATTCCAGGCCAGCTGGGACTACAGGGAGACCCTGTCTCAAAAGAAAAAAATAAATCCCCAACAATAAGCAAAATTTATTTAATTTTATTATTTTTTTGAGATAGGATCTCCCTATAGTCCCAGCCAGCCTGGAATTCATTATGTAGACCAGGCTGGCCTTGAACTCACAGAGATCTGCCTGCTTCTACCTCCCTACTAAAGTTTCCTCTTCATGTTTTTTTAATTTAAAATATTTTGTTATTTTTTTAATTTTATGTGTTTGAGTGTATTGCCTGCATTCATGTAAGTGCACCCATTTTGTGCAATGCCCACAGAGGTCAGAAGAGGGCGTCAGATCCCTGGAACTGGAGTTATGATGGTTTTTAGCGACCATATGGGTGCTGAGACTCAAACCTGGGTCCTCTGTAAGAGCAGCCAGTGCTCTTCACTATTGAGTCATCTCCCCAGCTGTCTGGACACTTTTCTTACACTTACAAATCCCCACCCTTCTTTTCAATTCAGTACATGTCTGGTTTCACTACAAAAACGTTCTCTCTTGGTTTCTGTAGGTTACAGGATTATAGGCCTGCATGCCACCATGTGTAGCTCCAATAAAAGCTTTTTTTTCTATTCTCCCCTCCCCCCATTAGGGGATTCTAGGCAGGAGCTCTACCACTGAGTCACACCCCGAGTCCCTTACTAAGGGTTTTGAGGTAGGTGCTCTACCACTGAGACACAACCCCAACGCCAACAAAAGCTTTATACAAAACAGCTATCATGAGGTTATAAAATGTATTCTGAGAGAATTCTCTGAATGAAGTCATTATATTCTATTTATCTGTGTATCTCTGTGTGTGTGTGTATGTATACATGTTATGTGGTGTATGTGTGCAGACATGGCCACACATAGTCGTGTGTGTCAGGGAAGGATGTCAGGCATGCTGTTCAATCACTCTCCACCTTATTCCTCTGTAGCTAGGCTGGGGGCCAGCAAGCCCCAGAAATCCTGTCTCTGCTCCCCACAACACGAGGGTTACAGACAGGCATGTCTACACTTAGCTGCTGCTTTTTTTTTTTTTTTACATGGGTGTTGGAGGATTTGAACTTAGATCCTCATGTTTCTGCAGCAAGCAGTCTTGCCCACTGGGCCATCCCCTGACTCCTTGGTTCTTTTTTTAAAGGGGTCAAACCAGTGCCACATGTTATAGGCAAGCAGTTCTACCATTGAACTGCATTCCTCAACCATTCATGCACTTTCAAAACTATAATCTTGTTTTTTGTTTTTTCTTTTCTTGCTTTCCATTTGTTTTTTGAGATAAGATCTCCCATCTCCCCAGAACTCAAGTAAAAGGCCAGGCATGGCAGTTTGTGTTTGTAATCGCAGTGCTGGGACAGGTGGTCCTGGCCAGCTAGCCTAGCTGAACAGGAGAGCTCCAGGTTCAGTGAGAGACCCTGTCTCAAAAAACAAGGCAGAAGACAGGCATGGTGGTGCATGCCCTTAATCCCAGCACCCCAGAGGCAAAGGCAGGCAGATCTCTGCAAGTTTGAGGCCAGCCTGGTCTATGTAACAAGTTCCAGGCCAACCAGGGCTACACAAAAAAACCAACAAAACAAAACCAAGGTGGAGAGCAAGAGAGGAAGATACCAGCTGTCAGCTTCTGGCCTCCACATGCAATCAAATGCATGTGCACATGGACCAGCATGCACATGCAAACACACCCCACACACACTAAAAAGGAAACGGGACCCATGTTGATTCCATCTGTAACAGACTGTGGCCTGAGTAAGTTGATGAACTTCGTCTTTATTTGGTTATTGTTGTTTTCAAAGAAGCTCTCAAGGACCCTGAGCAGGCCTTGAACTCCTGATCCTCTTACCTCCACCTATCTCCAGACTCTAGGGTTACTATCACACCTGGTACCTTCCTTGGTATTTGGATACCAAATAATAAAGCACTTTGCACAGGGAAGCTACCACCAGTAGCAAATAGGACCTACCACAGTGTTCAAGGCTGCTCTGAGGTGCACACCTGTAATCCTAGCTCTCAGGAGATAGGCAGGAAGACCACCATGATTTCCAGGCTAGTCTGGCCTACATAATGAGTTCAAGGGCAGCCCAGCTACAGAGTGAGACCCTGTCTCAAAAACCAAACCAAAACAAAACAAAAAACAAGGAGGAAAGGAAGGAAGGCACAAGAGACCTTGAGAATGACTTCCAAAGAGAAGGGTGAAGGAACACACCAGAACTTTGTTTTGTTTTTGTTTTAAGATAGGGTCTAACTGTATAGCCCCAACTGGCCTGGAACTCGCTATGTAGACCAGGTTGGCCTGGAACTCAGAGATCCACCTGCCCCTGCCTCCTAAGTACAGGCATGTGTACCATCCCCAATTTTGGGGGGGGGTCTTAATTTTTGAGACAGGGTCTCATTCTGTAGTCCAGGCTGGTCTAGAACTAACAATGCAGCTCATGGTAGTCTTGAATTCTTGATTTGCCTGTCTTTACCTCCTAACTGCTGAGATTACAGTCCTGAATCACCTGTCCACTTTTTTTTTTTTTTCTTTTTTGAGACAGGCTGTCACTGTGTAGCCCAGACTGACTTTGAACTCTTCATCCTCCTGCTTCCACCTCCCAAGTGTTAGGACTAGAGGCATGTACCACCTCTAACTTTTGGGGTTTATTTATTATCATGTATTGTTACTTTCAGTTTATGTTACATATGAATGTTTTGCCTGCATGCATATACCTAAGTGCACCATATGTGTGCAACGCTTGCAGAGGCCAGAAGAGGGCGTTGGATCCCCTATAACTGGAGTTACAGTTATTAGCTGCCATCCGGGTCCTGGGAACTGAATCTGGGTCCTCTGCAAGAGCAGCCAGTGCTCTTAACCACTGAGCCATCTCTAGAACTCCCCTGGGTTTATTTTTGAAACAAGGTCTCACAGTGCAGCCCAGGCTGATCTGGAAGCTTCAGGCATGTTCCAATTGGGTTCTGTTTTGGTTTGGTTTGCGTGTATAGATGGGGTCCTTACCTTGTAGCCCAGGCTAGCTTTGAACTCCTGAATCTCCTACCTCCACCTCCTAGCGCGCCAGAAAATTCTAGGTCTCACTCTTCAGACATCAAAATCACTGAACATTCACTGTTTTCCCAAACCCCACGGCTTCCCAGTTCTGGATCTGATCGTCCCTCCTCTAGCCCAGGCAGGCTCTCAGGAAGAGGCTGAACTTGGCCAGGCCAGGGCAGAGACGTGGGGACAACCCCCTGGGACACCCCCGCCACACACCCTCTTTGCACAGGCACCCCATCACGTGACAAGCAGGGAGGGGGGGTGCTCCCGGATCACGTGCATGGGGTGGGGGGCCGGGGGGGGCATGTTGGATGAGGTTGCGGGGTGCATCGGGCTGGGGAGCTGGGCGGACTGTCCGGGAGGGTGTGAGTCCAGCGGGGAGGGAGGTGGCGGTGTCAGCGGCAGCCGTGGCGTTGGAGGGGGCGGCCCCGCGTCCGCGTCACGTGGTACGAGGCGGGCAGCCATCTTGCTACAAACACAAACAGAGAGGAGCGGCCGCCCCGGGAGCGCCAGCGCCCCCCAGTTTCCCTCCCCAGCCGCCGCCGCCGCTACCACCACCACCACCACCACCACCACCACCCCGGCCCGCCGCGCGCCACTCGCCCATCGTCGTCACCATCACCACGCCCGGGGCGCCAGCACACCCTGGGGTATCGGGATCCTCCGTACCCCTCCCCGGTAAGCTGTGCGAGCCCCGGAGCAGGCCCGCCCCCGCCACCCCGGAGGCTCTGCGGGGAGAAGCCGGAGCCCCCCTCCTCGGACCCCGGGGCTACCGGCGCGCCAGCCTGTGCCCCCACCTCCCGAGCAGCCCCACCGCGGCCTCGGCGCGAGTCTTCTGCTGTCCGTGCGGGGTGGGGGTGCTTTGCTCCTCCCGTGTTCCCCGGGAGGGAGGACGAGGAGGGAGGGCGGACAGGGCCCTTGGCGCGCGCACCTGGCGCCCCTCCCTGAAGGGCACGCCGTCCTCCCGGCCGGCGCCTGCCCACACCCCCCGCGTCCAGCGCCAAGTAACGGTCGTTCCTCCCGGGGTCCCGCTCAGGCCGGTATCCCTGCTGCAGCGTGCTGTGTGCATCCCTGGTTCCCAGTGTTGGAGGGGGTCCCCTCGCCAGGCCCCACCGTGCCAGCGCGCCTCTCGGAGCTGGGCCTTGGGGCTTGCAAGTCCACGCGTTCCACCACTTCGGCCAGCATGGAAGCTTTTGTACCCCTTCCTGCACCAGAGCCCCCAACCCCCGGTCTTGGTGCTGGCCTTTCCAGCAACCACCTGAGTGCTTGGTCATCAGGGTCTCTTTCCCCTCTCTTCATCTCGGTTGTCCAGCCGCCTGGAACACCTGTCTGCACTGGGGCTGCTGGGCTTCCCTGACACCACACCAGGCCCTTCTCAGGCAGTGTGTTCTCTTGGTTTGGCAGCTCCCGGGTCACAGTTTACCTTAAAAAAAAAAAAAATGTTTTGCAAGTTGAAAGACCCTCTCCTGCCTTTACTACAATTTCCATGCAGCTTTCCGTACTGTTTGTGGGAGATCCTAAGTAAATACTTGTTGGCCAGATCTTTCCTCCACCCACCCCAGCCTTACTATCTTGTTACTTAAAAGTGTGCTGGCTTCTGAAAGACCCTCTTTCCAGGTTCCATTGCACCCCCCCCCCAAATGATATGCTACCTTCCACCCAAACCCTGGTACCCCTAAGTTGGTGGTTTGGTCCCTGGCTCCCACCCCATCCTTAGCAACCCAGGCCAGCTGCCCTTCCACCCCAGCTCCACTGATTTCTGGCTTGTATGTACATACATCTCTTTGTCCCAAGTTTGGGGATCTTGATGTTGATTGGGGGATCAGGGAGCAGAGGCTTGAGTGTCCCACATGATGATTATAGTACAATTTGTGTGTTTACCGTTTGACTGCCTTTGTCAGCTGGTGGACATGAATTTGTGGTTTCTGGGAATTAGTGGATAAGGGACCCCACGTTTACTCTGACTTTTGGGTCTGTGGTTGGAGTTTGGGATAGGAAAAATTTTAGGTCCAGTGAGATAATGGTTCTGTGGATGAAGGAGCTTGCTGCACAAGCCTGGAGACTTGAATTTGGTTCCCAGAATCCACTTGAAGGTGGAAGGAGAGGATGGACTCCCCAAAGTTGCCCTCTGACCGCCACTTCAGCTCACACAACATGCCATACATACACAGTAATAATAATAAAAAGAAAGGAGAACAGTCCCACTTTAGATGAGAAGATGAGACTAGGGGAGAATTTTAAGTTTTGGAAAAGGGCTTGGGAGATGGCTCAGTGGCTAAAGCACTTGCTGTAGAAGCGTGAGGACCTGAGTTCAAATCCTAGAACCCATGTAAACAGCAGGTGGCCTTGGAGGCCCTCCTGTAATCCTAGCATTTGGGAGGTGGACACAGAATCCTTCAGCAAGCTGGGTTACATCGAGACCCTGCCTCATTATATAGGTGCAGAGAGTTTAGGAAGACCCCCCCCCCCAGTGTCAGCCTCAGACCTCTGCATGCATGCACACACTCATGAACACATACACAGGCATGCAAAAATAAGTCTTAAAAATCTTGGCATAGTGGTATAAGCCTATAATGGTAGCGCTCAGGAGCCTGAGGCAGGAGGGTTTTGGTGAATTTGAGACAAGCCTGGGCTACAATATGAGACCCTGTCCCAAACAAGAACCAAGTCCAAGAAACTAAAAATGGTTTCAAACTCACGTAGCAAGCCTGAGCATTCAGGATGGTTTCTGTCACCTTGTACCTTTTGGCCAGCCTTGGGTGATTTTGGGGTGCCCTTGCAGGGTAGCCATCCCTCCCTGTTTTTGTTTTCCATGGACTAGAATCCCCAGGCTGGGCTGGGCTAGTTCACAGAGATGAGTTGAGGTAAACTGTAAAGGACTTTGAAAACTGAACACAGTTCACAGTTGTCAAGTGACAATTATTTGTCATGGTGGCTCAGAGTAGAGCTGGGATAACTTAACTGGCCACCCTGTAACTGAAGGGATTCTACAGCCCTTCTCTGCCTCTTGAGTCCTTCTCTGGCCACGCACAGTGAATGTGGGTGTCTGTCTGGGGAAAGTCTCCAACAGGCATGGTGGTCTGGTTGATCAAATCTTGAGGCATTTGAGGCTCTGTCTGGTAACAGCTTTACCTGGTAATGCCAGGGTGCGTCCCTTTTGGAGCTTATTTTAGGGGTGCTAGAGTAAGGAAGTACCATCTCTAATTTAGTGTTGGGACCACTTTGCTCAGCTTTCTCTTCATGCAGTTCTGAGCCCCAGAGAGCAGCCTTGGTTGGTCCTGCCTAGTTGGTTGATGGCTCCCAGAACCAGCCTGTGCCCTTACCATGTGCCTTCAGTCGGGGGCAGTCTTTAAATAGAAATCAAATACTCTGGGAGTGATGGTCGGCTGTGGCCAGGGGACCCTCAAAGCAGAGGTAGCTAGAGGCCAAGGGTAAGGGGACAAACTGGGGTTTTGGCCCAGGAAGAAAAGACCCTTAGTTTAGACGGCCAGGAAAAGGTGAATGGAAAAGGACAGGGTTCTCAGACCTTTGTTTGCTTTTATGTGTATGAGTGTTTTGCCTGCATGAATTTAAGTGCACCGCATGTGTGCAGTGCCCACAGAGGCCAGAAGAGGGCATCAGATCCCCTGGAACTGGAGTTACAGATGGTTGTTAGCCTTCATGTGGGTGCTGGGCACTGAACCCTGGTCCTCTGCAACAGCAACCAATGCTCTTAACTACTAAGCCATCTCTCTAGCCCTACATTTTCTTCTTTAGAAAGGGACCCAGGTACTTGGCTTTTAGGTGGGCAAATGTAGGGTCAGTGTGTTTGGGGCTTTTAAAAACTTTTTTAAAATATTTTTATTATTTTTATTTTATGTGTATGAGTGTATTGCCTGCATGTATGTGAGTGCACCCATGTCGTGCAATGCCAAGGAGGTCAGAAGAGGGCGTCTGATTCCCCTGGAACTGGAGTTAAGGACGGTTCGTAGCCGCCATGTGGGTGCTGGGAATTGAACCTGGGTCCTCTGCAAGAGCAGTCAGTGCTCTTAACTGCTGAGCCATCTCTGTAGCCTCTTAAAAACTTTTTAAAAGCCAGTGTGTGGTGGTTTCAGGACAACTTGTGGAAGTCACTTCTCTACTTCCAACCTGTGGGTCTGGGGGATCAAACTCAGGTCATTGGGCTTGGCTGCAAGCACCTTTACCCACTGAGCCATCTCACTGACTCCATGCTGTTGGTGTTTTGAAAATCCTTCTTTTCTCACAGGACAGTGTGATGGGGAGGGTTTCCCTGCTGTTGAGGGGAGCGTGAATGAGCACACATGCAGCTGCTCGTGTCTTACCAACACCACAGAGTCTCTACCTCTTCTGCCTCTTCCAGATAGAAGTGTTTCTCAAATGTTTGGCCCTCCAGCCTCTGCCTCCCACATGCTGGGATGACAGGCCTATGCTACCATGCCCTGTTGGTGCACTGCTGGGGATCAAACCCAAGGCCCCCTATAAGTGACGCAACTACTCTAACAACTGAACCACATCCCCAGCCTGCCGTATACATTCATCGTCTTTTTAGTGGACTGTCCTATGAACTGTAAGGTGGCCCAGAGTATCCCTGGTCTCTACCCACTAGAACCCAGTAGCATCTCTGTGCACAGTTTGTGACAGTCTCTGTCATAAACCCTCCAAATTGTCCTGGGAGTACAGTCTTCCCAGTCAAGAGCCCCTGGCTCCCTGGCGGCACACAGGGCACAGGCCTACCTGTGGCCAGGGCAGAAACCAGGTGGTGGCCTGCCTGCTGCTTCTGAGGTCCCTTAGTATGAAGAAGGGGCCCACTGATCTCCAGCTTTTGGCACCAGGCCCTTCTCTGACTAGGCCCCAAAACTTGCCCTCTTTACCCTTGGTTATTCTCCTGCCTCTACAGCAGCCCAACCCTCCCACCCCCCCACTCCCC